TGACCACTTTACAAATGATGAAACTGAGGCAAAGAGAAGTTAATTCACCCATCACACAGCTTCTAAGTGGTGGAGCTGGGACTTGAATTCAGAAGTAAGGTTTCAGAGTCTGTGCTGTTAGTCATTAAAACATCCTGCCTCTCCCTAGGATAAAAATTTCCCTTCACCCTTAACTTTTCTCAGAATGGTCCTTCAATCACATTGTCTTTTATTTGTGTATAAAAATGCAACAAAGTGTGCTTGGCTAGTCACTTGGAACACTTCTACAACCAGGGAAGCTTACTACAGGAAAACAACCCCCACAAACCAGGAGCTCATAATTGAACATTAAGAACCATTTGAGGAAAACCGTAAGGGAGAACCAGTAGACACATTAAGGGAGAACCAATGCCAAAATTAACACTTCTAGAACTAGACACAATGGAATAGTCTAGAAGAAAATATAAGCATTTAAAACATGATTACAGATTAAAGAAGGAATAGAAGCCTTAGTGAAATAACCGTACAGTGGGAATCAAGAAAAGGCAGTGTCTTGGCAGTGGGTTTCAGCCCTGGGCAAGTTCACTATGGATTCAGTGAGACCGAGGAATGACAATGGAACGTTCTTGGGGTGAAAGGTTTATTACCCGGCTTGTTCTCCTGGCAATAGGTCAAGCACTAGAATCATGTCTGCATCCAACAGTCTGCAGATCTGTAATCCTCCTTGGTCTCTGCCTCTGCCCAGAGTACTGGGCAGAGCTCTCTATATAGTGACTCAGTCAATAATAGCTTATTGCCTGTGGGTGTGGAAGCAGTAGCCTAGCAGCAGGCCCCTAGTTTAGGGTCAGGTGAGGATCCTCTCCATAGGAACTTCCATTTGCCCCACAGGCAGTTTAAAGGAGATCCTCAGATTTCTTAAAGTTCAGAGCTCAAGAAACTAAAAAAAATATGATTATATTATTTCCAGATGAACTGAGAATTGATCAAATGGAAGGTAGACCTGAGAAATATCACCCAGTTGTCAGAAAGAGGACAAATTGCTGGAAAATATGAATGAGAAGTTAAGAGAGATAACCAGCAGAATGAGGTCTAATGTGAATCTAATAAGCATTCCAAAGGAAGATAATAAAGAGAAAGAGGGTAGGACAAAATTCAAAGAGGCAGTGGATGAAAATTTTCTAGAAATAAGGAAAACATAAATCTTAGGATTGGGAAAACATGCAAAATTTCAACGATTTTAGTGAGACTGCAGAACTTCTAGGAAGCATATGCAGGAACCTACTCTCTCATACGCTTTTTGTAGAAGGTTGTTAAGCAATATGTAGGTAAAAATGTGTAAGCCTTTTTTGCCCCAGAAATTCTGTTTCCAAGAATTCAGCCTTAGTAAATAAACAGTTCAGTTCCCAAAGATTTATTATATATGTAAGGATGTTGAGCTCAGCATTGTATATAAGAGATAAATTGGAAACAGCTTTGAAAAACTCACCAATATGCAATAGATTAAATAAATTAAGTTATACTGTAAAAGCACTGTTGCCTTTATGTAGCTGTTAAGATGATGATATAGATCTATTTTTTTGGATGAAAATTTTCTAGAAATAAGGAAAACATAAATCTTAGGATTGGGAAAACATGCAAAATTTCAACGATTTTAGTGAGACTGCAGAACTTCTAGGAAGCATATGCAGGAACCTACTCTCTCATACGCTTTTTGTAGAAGGTTGTTAAGCAATATGTAGGTAAAAATGTGTAAGCCTTTTTTGCCCCAGAAATTCTGTTTCCAAGAATTCAGCCTTAGTAAATAATCAGTTCAGTTCCCAAAGATTTATATATGTAAGGATGTTGAGCTCAGCATTGTATATAAGAGATAAATTGGAAACAGCTTTGAAAAACTCACCAATATGCAATAGATTAAATAAATTAAGTTATACTGTAAAAGCACTGTTGCCTTTATGTAGCTGTTAAGATGATGATATAGATCTATTTTTACTTATGGTGACAAGATCTAGTTAAAAAGCTGTGTGCATAGGTTACTCCCACTGGCATAAATAAAAATCTGTTTCGGTAGAAAGAAGTTGGGAAGGATAAGTACTTAAAGCTTATAGTTGGTTATCACTGGGTGGATAACTTTTACCTTCATTATACTTTTATGCATTGTCTGAATTAAAAAAATTAAGTACTTGTTATCTTGATAATCATAAGAAAAAATAAGATGCTTCACTTAGAAAACAAACCTGAACTCAAAATGGTGTCCTGATGTTCTAGACCTCCAAGTAATTAGAGCTCTCAACCCTGGTGGCCAAGGTATGAACTGTACTACACAGTAGCCAAGACTAGCCCTGAGAGCAAGACTCTTGGGTTGCATTCTCTTTTGTTCCATCTTGCTTTCTCCTTCCCTGGGCAGCTTTCAGTTAAATAATAAAATATTTCAATTTTTTCTCTTTTCTTTGTTAAACAAAATATACGGCCCCAATGTACTTTATGGCTACTGCATGAATGACCTCATTTTTAAAAATGGAAATAAGTAGATTAAGTTAATTAAAATCATTCTATCCTTTCTGTTTGGCCAATGACAGTGAGCAGCTGGGAGAGATATAGTGAGTCAAGGACCATTGATAATAAAAAAATAGGTCAAAGGTTGTCACCCTTTCTTGTGTTTCTCCTCTGGTAGGAAAAGCTGTGTGTGCAGCTGTAGCTCATCCTGGTCTGCAGGCCATGTAAGAAGCTGAGCAGAAGACCAGCCTCACGGGGATATTGTGTTGGAAGAGAGGCTCTTGACAGTGAGTCATGTCAACATGTGAGGCACAGAGGCAGCTCCTTTCGGTGACTGGCTGCAGCCCTGAACCCTGCAGTCCCCTTCCCTGGCCCTGTCTCTCTCCTTCTGAGTGAGGCTGAGCTGTCGGCCCATTAGAGGGCATTCTCTGAGCATGTGCACAGGAGGTAACAGGGTTCTCGGGTCAGTACTGATGGACCAGAGGGGCCTGGCTCTCTCACCGGTAAAAGCTCCACCTGTGAAATAGGCTGTCCTGCAGACCTGAAGATTTGGTCCCTTAAGAATCTGGTGGCAGGGCGTATAGACTCTGTTAAGGAGTGCTATTTCGGAAACTTTCATCTGGGGGTCAACTGTATCTGGGGTTCTTGTTATAAAATGCAGGTTCCCAGTTCCACACTGTCTTGCCAATGGGTTTCAGCCCCGGGCAAGTTCACTATGGATTCATTGTGTCCAAAGAAAATGACAGTAAAATGTTCTTGTGGTGAAAGGGTTTATTTCCTTACTTGTTCTCCTGGCGGTAGGTCGAGTACTAGCATCTCTGCCTCCGCCTAGAGCACTTGGCTGAGCTCTCTATATAGCGCAATAATAGCTTATTGCGTATGGGTGTGGAAGCAGTAGCCTAGCAACTAGCCAGTTACTTCATCAAGTGGTTTACGTTCAGTGAGAATCCTGGCCGTAGGAATCCCAATTCCCCCCACCCTCCACACCTATTAGCTTAATTCAGTATGTCTCAGATAATAATTCTGATTCATACTGAGGTCTGGCACCTACTGGCTTACACTAATCTCACATGCTGTACATACTACAGCTGGAGTTATCTATCTGCAGGGACTTTTGATTATTGTTTGTCTCATTTTACTAATTTATTCATTTAACAAATATTTATCAAATGCCTATTCTGTGCCAGATATTGAACAAGGCAGTGGAGTTATAACAGTGAACAAGGTTGACCCAGTGTTTGGACTTATGATATGGAGGGGAAACAAGTAAACAAATTAATAATTGTGGTAAAAACCATGATGGCCATAACTGGTTATTATCACAGAGGAAGGAGAGTGTTTGAAATAAAAAACTGGTGAGCGAATGCCTCTTTGAGGAGGCAGCAATTACATTAAGACCTAGATTAAAAGGAATCAGACATACGAGGAGCATGCTAGGCAGTGTAAAAAACTGGTGCAAAATCACCAAGATAGAATCAATCTTGATCCTGTTTCAAGAACAGAAAAAAAGGCCAGAGTGGCTGATGCCCCAGCAAGCCAAGGGAAGAGAGGAGTGAAATTAGGAAGGCGGCACCAGATCATGTAAGCTCTTGAGGATTGAGGGGAGGCATAGCCAACTGAGAGGGGATGGGGAACCAGGGAACAGAGTGTGGAATGGAGAGGAGATGCCTGGTTTGAGACATGAATGTGGGTGTCATCAGCATTTTGATGGAAGGCCATGTGAATGGGTAGTCTAACCTTGGGAGCAACCGAAGGGAGAGAATAGAGAAGGGCCTGGTAACGAACAGTAGGAGCTGCCAGGAGGTTGGAGAGGTGGGAGGGTAGGTGGACAAACTGTAGTCAGTGGAAGCCACAAGATGAGAATGATCAAAGAGAGACAGTCAAAAGTGTCATTGCCATGAAGGGTCTAGAACAGCATAGCCCATCAGTAGCTGCCAGCTGCATGTGACTACTGGGTACTTGAAACATGACTCGTGCAAACTGAAATGTGCTGTAAGTGTAAATTAAAATGTACTTCATGTACAGCTCAAATTAATAAAATGTTATATGTCAGTTACATTTCAGTTTTTAAAAATGAACAGTAAGTTAACATTTTACCTGCTTTTTACTTTTTAAAAAGATGGCTACTAGAAGAATTTTAATTGCATGCATGGCTTGAATCCCATTTCTATTGCTGTTTGACAATATGGAGGTCATTCACAAAATGGTAAGAGTAGACTGCCTGAGATTAAGTAATACCTAGAAAAGTGTTTATACTCAGATGAGACTGAATTATCATCATCATCATATTATTATATGCCTACAATTAAATAATAAAATTCACCATTAAAAATTCTTCTAGACTTTTTAATGTGTATATAAGTGATTTAGTAATATCACATATATTGACAATGTAATGTGTAAGGCCTTAAATACTTTGAAATCAACTTTCAACTGTGGTTTTTCAATCTTTTTTTAACCTCTATTTTCTCTGTCCCTTTTTGTCTTTCTTTTTATTTAAAATTTTATTTATTTGCACATTTGGCTAGGAAACTTCATGGTGTTATGGTCAACTTGCCGCACAACCGTGTTCAAATCTGTCACCAACAGGTTCATTAAAAACCTGGCCTGCTCTGGGATCTGTGCCAGCCTAGTCTGCGTGCCCTTTGACATCATCCTCAGCGCCAGTCCTGGCTGTTGCTGGTGGATCTACACCATGCTCTTCTGCAAGGTTGTCAAATTTTTGCACAAAGTCTTCTGCTCTGTGACTATCCTCAGCTTCCCTGCCATTGCCTTGGACAGGTAAGATCATGTGGCCAGGGGCACAACTAGTTTTTTCAGGGTATTGGAATTAGCATCACAAAGCAAATGGTGAATAGCTGGTGTTCCTCACCCTGCTTGATAGTGTGTTTGTGGTCAATGGAAAGAGAATGAATGTCTAAAACACATGCCTGGCAGAAGGCAGGCTGATTGAATGGTAGCTCAGAAAATAGGATTATTGAGAGAAGATGAGGTTTTGTGGGGGTGACCTCATGAGGGCACCAGGGCAGAGCTGGATCAGGGTATAGTTTCAGCTTGGTTGAAATGGGTGGTGTTTGCATTACAATTTGAAGTAGATTGCTCATCTGATTGCTAACTCTGCAATTAGGGCTTTTTGATGTAGGATGAAAACATTTCTGGAAGAATAAGGGAACAATTCAGTAGTAATGTAACCGAAGATTAGGTAGCCCAGTAAGATCTGATCAGATAACACCAGAATTCCTTTCGAAGATTCATTTCCAAGGCTGCGTTGTGGTGGTGGTGATTTCTCTTCTCATCGTCTTTAAAAAATAGTCATTTGGAAATGAATCTTATGTCTTAGTCACTGCCATCATATATAACTTGATCGAGTTTATTGAAAGTCAAGTGTAAGAATCTCAGTATTCAACAGCTTATTGCCTTTTCCCTTTGAATACAGTTTTAGATAATAATACGTTTGAGACAATTTAATTAAATAAGCGAACAAGAATTGAAAAGTATTTTGTGCCCATGAGTACTTTTGATTTCAAGATACACAGAGAGAAAAGTGTAGAAGGGAAAGTTCTGGCTCTTCTGAATTTATCCCCTATGATTAATTTGACTACATTCTAGGTGAGCTTGGAACTTTGAAACTCTTTGTTCATTCAAAACATACTCAATATTTTAATGACCTATGAATTGCAGAACCAACCTGTGGAGTCACTTCAGCCTCTCAGGCCTGGAGCCTTGATTTCATCAGCTGCCCAGTGTCATCTGTGTGGAAGGACACAGAGTCACATAAAACCCTGAGCCTACTAGGAGAAGTTGCTGGCTTTGTGGTAAAGAGAGGGGACTCTGGAGCCCATGGTCTGGTTTTAGGTTCTATCGACCATTCTCACTGGGCAGCTTTAGCGAAGCCTTTCTGTGTGTAAGTTTCCTCAGTGGTAAGAAGAATTAAGTGTATCATTTATGCCTGTGCTTGAATGGGTCACACCAGTATTTGTGTCTTTCTCTAGGCTTCGCTTCTGATTGGCACATTCTTCCTTAGATATATTGCTGCAGTCATTTTATCATCAGATTGTGCTGGGAGCCACTCCAGCTCTTTGGAAGTTTCTCACTAGAAACTCGTCGTCCACGGGGCAGACGAGGCAGGTGACAAATCTAAGTGACATAAGCTGGGTTGGGGTTGTGTCTGTCCTCTTGTAGCTTAGGGGTCAGTAATAAAGCAGATGCAACTACTAGTTGCTTTGTGGATATCTAAACTCAGTAGGCAGAACTTTCTATTTTCCTAGAAAAGAAATCAAAAGTATAGATCTGACTTATTATTTTTAAATGTTGGCAATTAATTTTCATTCAAAAAGTATTTGGCGGGCCACTCATCTCGTCAGCACGCTGAATATGCACAGCACGATGCCAGTTTGCCATGCCTGCTTTAAAGTGACTTTGTGTTTCTCTGTCATGTTCAGCAAGAGGTCTTTGAATAGCTGGAAAGCACCATTGCACAGCACTAGAATGTAACAGTGGGAAGTCAGTTTACACCCTGGTGGTGCTCTAATGCATTTTGTGCCAAAGCACTCTGTGTTCATGGCGGGTGTCCTTCCAGCTGTGCCTTGTACTACCTGCTTGCTGAGGTCTTCAGTCCACATTATGCACTTTTCTTTCCTGAGTTCTAAAAAACAGTTTTATTGATATATAATTTACCTGTCATAAAATTCATGTGAGTGTACACGTCAATAAATTTAATATAGTTAGAGCTGGTGCAGCCCTCACTGTAGCTGACTTTCAGAATTCTTCCATCACCCTGAAAAGAAACCTCCCACTCATTTACAGACACTGCCCCTTTCCCCCAGACCCAAGTGACCACTGATCTATTTTCCATCTTTATATGTTTGCTTCTTTGGGGGACATGTCGTGAAAGTGGAATCATACAATTTGTGTTCTTTTATGTCTGGCTTCTTTCACTCAGCATAATGTTTTCAAGGTTCATCCATTTTGCAGCATGTGTCAGCACTTAATTCCTTGTCCCCCACCCAGTTCTACTGAAATATAATTGATATACAGCCCTGTGTAAGTTTAATGTCTACAGCATAATGACTTACACTGTGAAATGATTACCACAATTAGTAACGTCCATCATCTTCTATGGATACAAAAACAGTTTTTTTCCTGTGATCAGAACTCTCAGGATCTACTCTCTTAACAACTTCTTTCTTTTTTATTGCCAAACAATATTCTATTGTCTGGATATACCATATGTTGTTTATCCACTTTCTGGTTGATGAACATTTGGGGTGTTTCCATTTTTGGCTATTGTGAATAATGCTACTATGAATCCTGGAAGTTTTTAAAGCATAGCTTTCAATAAAGTGAGAACACATTATTTTCAACAGTTTGCTTTATACCTGGAAGCAATGCAGTAATCCCTGGGTTACTTCTGGGCCTTAGTCTTAGACAGGGAAATATGCAAACAATAAGAAACCCTAAATTTCATTCTAGCAGAAAATCTGTTGTATTTTTGCCATCATTTTTAAAAAAGGTAAACAAGTCCTTTCAATAGTACAATAGGTGGGCAATTAGTATTCATGAAGTGAAGGGAAGGCAATCCTTTCTCTCACCTTTTTCTTAGATATTTCTTTCATGGCGTCGATTTAGCAAATTAATTGGAAGGCCACCTACACTTCTGACATCATCTTCTAGAGATGTACACACTAACAAAATTATTTACAATTAGTCTGTGTCCTTGTATTGTATTCTATTTACCAATACATAATGAAAGCAGAAATGAATGGAAGCCTGGGTTTGCTAGTGAGCAAATGGAAATTGGAGACCGTGTACTCCAGGCATGTATTCATGTATGTGTGCGGGGCCTTCACATTGGATTGATAAAAGTTGTGATTAGAAAAGTTAATCTGTATTCATTAGAGAAGAAAATTGAGAGCATGAATAACTTGTGCATTTCTTTCTCTTTTTTCCTCTCCCAGAATTAGGTCTAGAAGCACATTTCACTGCGCTTCATTCATCTCTGATCACCCATGGTCATGTTGTGTTTGCATCGTATTTCCTTCCATCTGGAACATGCTTCCCCAGCTTGTCCCCTGCCAGACTCTACCACAGTGCCATCTTCTCTTGACATTTCCCAGGTGCTCCCTTTCCTGTACCTCCTTTGGCCATACCTCCAGTAGAGCCATCATCTCCTTGTTTATAATTGCTCCTCTGTCTGCCTTTTTTCCTAATGAGTTTAGAAACATTCCTCTGTGTCTTTTCATTTTTGTAATCCAGTGCCGGGCAGTGTCCTTGGTGCACAGGTGGTGCTCCAAAATCTTTGTAACAGGAAGGCATGCATGCTTACCTGGCTCCATGAGTGAATGAATGCTGATAGGACTAAGGTCAACTCCAGCATTAGCTGCTTTCAGAGATGTGGGCCGAACTGATGTGAAGAGAAACCCATGTCTGATGGCTAGTGGCAGCCCTTTCATGACATATGTAGACCTATAAGATTATTCAGTTCTCCAAATCACTGGTGATATTGAAGATTTTTTTGGTCTAGTGATGCTTCTGTTTTACATCAACACCTCAAAACTTAAGATCTGGCTTCCTCATACCCCCCAGTGGTTCCCTCTGTCTTAGAATAAAAGAACTTGACCCTTTGGTTCCTCTCTCCTGCTTTAGATAATGTAGATCTCCCTAATTTAAACAGTATCTTCTCCTGTGTAATGAGTTTTGCTTGTGCATTTTGCAGGTACTACTCAGTTCTCTATCCACTGGAGAGAAAAATATCTGATGCCAAGTCCCGTGAGCTGGTGATGTACATCTGGGCTCACGCAGTGGTGGCCAGCATCCCTGTGTTTGCAGTCACCAATGTGGCCGACATCTATGCCATGTCCACCTGCACTGAAGTCTGGAGCAACTCGCTGGGCCACCTGGTATACGTTCTGACCTATAACATCACCACAGTCATCGTGCCTGTGGTTGTGGTCTTCCTCTTCTTGATATTGATCCGTCGGGCCCTGAGCGCGAGCCAAAAGAAGAAGGTTGTCATAGCAGCGCTGCGGACCCCACAGAACACCATCTCTATCCCCTATGCCTCCCAGCGGGAGGCCGAGCTGCACGCCACTCTGCTGTCCATGGTGATGGTCTTCATCTTATGTAGTGTGCCCTATGCCACCCTGGTTGTCTACCAGACTGTGCTCAATGTCCCCGACACGTCCGTCTTCTTGCTGCTCACTGCCATTTGGCTGCCCAAAGTCTCTCTGCTGGCCAACCCTGTGCTCTTTCTTACTGTGAACAAAGCTGTCCGCAAGTGCTTGGTAGGGACCTTGGTACAACTGCACCACCGGTACAGCCGCCGCAATGTGGTCAGTGCAGGGAGCGGGCTGGCTGAGGCCAGCCTGGAGCCCAGCGTGCGCTCAGGCAGCCAGCTCCTGGAGATGTTCCACATCGGGCAGCAGCAGATCTTCAAGCCCACAGAGGACGAGGAGGAGAGTGAAGCCAAGGACACTGGCTCAGCTGAACTCCGGGTCAAGGGGATCCTGAGCACGGGTCTGGAGGGAGAGCAGGGGCCACCGTTTGCACCCCCTGCCCCACCCCTGGGCACAGTGGACTCCATATCCCGGGTGGCACCAGCAGCCCCTGGGGAACCCGAGACATTCCCTGATAAGTATTCTCTGCAGTTTGGCTTTGGGCCTTTTGAGTTGCCTCCTCAGTGGCTCTCAGAGACCCGAAACAGCAAGAAGCGGCTGCTTCCCCCCTTGGGTAACACCCCAGAGGAGCTGATCCAGACCAAGATGCCCAAGGTAGGCAGGGTAGAGCGCAAGATGAGCAGAAACAATAAAGTGAGCATTTTCCCCAAGGTAGATTCCTAGTAAGGCTTGTGAATCCCTGGAAGCAGCAGGGCGCCCCCATGCTCCTGCCCTCCCTCCGCTCTGGCCCTGTGGTTTGTTTGTTGTCCTTGCAACCAAGTATGGGTTGACTCCTCCTGTATGGCCCACATGCTTTTGAACGAGAGGGAAGCTTATATAAAGTCAATTGTCCTCTATTGAGGGAGTCTGTATGTCTCCCTCAGTGTCCCACGTCCTTAGGGAAGTCCACACTCCTCTCTGTGGAGATGGAAGCTGGGCAATGTGGGACAGGTCTTGGGTCATGAGTGTTTGCTGAGGACTCCTCAGTTCCCGGGGCCCTGCGGAGAGTACAGGGAGAGGAGCATCTGTGAGTCAAGGGGAGCAGGGGCACCCTAAGGGAGCCCAAGATAATTATGGAGCTGTGTGGCCATAAAGAAAATGTCTCTTTGATTGACAAAAATATGACAAATACTTTAAATTTTAATATCGATCTGTATCTTCAGGGAAGATAGCACCTTGGCATTTGACATCTGTTCTCTGGAAGGTCTGATCATGTGACTCTGAGTTTCTTCCAAAGCCTCATCCCTTTCCCTGGGATATAGACAAGATATGGCTGTTCCACCCCGACTTGACAGCTCTGGCAATAGATGTGCCCCATGGTGAGGGAGATGTTCTGAGCTTGGTTACCCTGCCATTCTCCTGGCATCACTAAGGCCTCAGAAAGGTATGTGTGCAGTGGGGGTTGGAAGACTCTGCACAGTCTTACTGTGGCTTTCCACAAATTGTGGGAAATTGTAGTCTTGAAACAAATGAGACATAAGCAAAGAGGTAGAGAAGAAGACTGAGAAATGTCTGTGCATTTCTCTTTTCTCCTCCCACATGCTCTCACGTGATGTGCTATGAGCAATCAGTGGGAGTAAAGTATATTGAAAAAATTTTCTGTGCAAACGTTTGGAATGAAAAGGTAATTTAGTGGGGGTTGGAAGACTCTGCACAGTCTTACTGTGGCTTTCCACAAATTGTGGGAAATTGTAGTCTTGAAACAAATGAGACATAAGCAAAGAGGTAGAGAAGAAGACTGAGAAATGTCTGTGCATTTCTCTTTTCTCCTCCCACATGCTCTCACGTGATGTGCTATGAGCAATCAGTGGGAGTAAAGTATATTGAAAAAATTTTCTGTGCAAACGTTTGGAATGAAAAGGTAATTTAAAAAATGCAAAACTAGTGTAACCTGGGTCATCTGGAGACATCAGAACGGGTGGTTAGGAAAGGTGATTCTGTCCCAAAGAGTGGGAAAAGTCTGACAAAGGTGGCTACCTTCCGATGAGGCCTCCAGAACCCTGGTGTGCTGGGTCTCACTTCAGTCTGTTTGTGCACCTGTGGTTCTCCCTTCATTTTGGACAAAGGAGAGGGAGAAATACTTAATCATTGTGAAATGCAAGGTAGCACCCAGGCCAGGTGAGCTGTCCACGCCCTCCCTCCCAGTGTGGCTATAGCAGGTGCCAGAGTGATGGGGAGGACAGGGCCCTCAACTGATTATCCTCTGGGGCCTCTCACAAGTGATTCAAGTCCACTTTGAGCTGGATTTTACCAGGATTCAAACCACAGGTGACATTTCCCTTTGGAGGGCAGATCAAGTGCTGGCTCTGCTCTTGTCTCTTGAGCATTGTTCTTGTTACTAGAACACGGGAGCTAATCCAGGGCCTTGAGCAAGCTTGAAGGGAAGTGGGCATTCTCACCCGCAAAACCCCATGTTCCCAAAGCAGTGGGCCTCACTTATCCCCTCCTTTAGCCACACTGGCCCCTTGTCCCTCGGAGGAATCTCAGACCATGGGTAGGGAGTTTCCTTTTCCTGCCCTCTCCTGGGTGTACTGTCTTGTGATTCCAGAACATGAACCAAAGTCCCTTCCCCTGAAGAGAAAGCATCTGCCTCTTTGTATTGTCCACTCGCAGTGTGTGTCCTCACAGTAGAAACGGAACCACCCGGCCTCTCCTGGGCCCCTGGCCCCCAGGCCTTGGTGTGTGCCATCTGTAGCTCCTTGCCCCGAGAGTTCCTGTGTGGCCCTTCAAGCTTCGTGTTCAAGGCCTTCACAAGCACTGTGGCTCTCATCACGGGGAAACCTACGCTGTCAGAAAATTGTGTCCACTTGAGAAGACTGTTAAATGCAGCCCCTTTGGTGTCATTCTGATACTGTAAATGTACAACTTCATAAATTCTGGTGAGGCAGAGGGTGGTAGGTATTTCTTATGTTTGGAGCAGACAGTTGAATTCTAACAGGTCACTGCCAGGTGTATTTCTATATTCTTTGAAGAATTACATTTTAATAAAAATTTGAGAAGTTATTTCTGAACTCAAAAATGGTTAAATGAGCTATTTTTTTTGTTTCTTTTTTCTCTCAAGTGGGCATGTGAATGTAAATATTTAATCAAAAATTAAAATGGTATTGGAAAGATAGAGGAGAAGCCCCAGAGGGGATGATGGTGGAAGAGATTTGCATGGATGCACTCAAGTGGGGTGCAAAACAGATGATGCTAAACAGAGTAAAATACACGTTTGGGCATGTGAATGTAAATATTTAATCAAAAATTAAAATGGTATTGGAAAGATAGAGGAGAAGCCCCAGAGGGGATGATGGTGGAAGAGATTTGCATGGATGCACTCAAGTGGGGGTGCAAAACAGATGATGCTAAACAGAGTAAAATACACGTTACTTAGAAATACAGAGATGTGTGAATAACAGAAGGCACAGCAAAAATTACTGCATGCCTTGTTTCTGGGACTTTTGTTCATTTTGTTGTAAGCCTTTTGTTACATTTTGAAACAATCTAAATGTACAGATAAAAATACAAATTAACTTGAAAAGGCTTCTGAATTTTGCAATGCACCATCAGAACAAACAAAGAAAAAAAACAAACCGTATGCATCATTAAAGGATATTGAGAAAATAAGGCAGTTTTGGCCTCCAGAGTCAGAATAACCAGTGGCTTTTTCCTGATAGGTTCAAATGATGTCAGTTTACTCTGGTAATTCCTCTAGTTTGTATGAACTAGGCAATAGTTGGCTGTTCTGAATTCTGTTTTTTTTCCCTTGTGTCTTCTCAATAACAAAGAAGAAATATTCTTTTTTTTTGTGTATATTCACTAAAGCACTTTTAAGAGTAAGTTTAATTGAAATAATGCTAGTTTGCTTCAGAATTGAATTTAGAGCACACACAGTATTTAGATAAATATGTACAAAAATATTGAGTTTAGTGAATTAAACTGTCCTGGAATTTATTTAAAATTTATGTTCCCATCTACTTAAAAAAATCCTAAAGTAAGTATAATCTCAGTATTTTTTCACTGTCATTAGATTATTTAGAAGATCTCAGTTTTAATTTATAATATCTTCTACCTTAAAGTTTATTCCCTTGGTAGCATTTGACTTCTCATTGTCTGCTTTGTATTTGTATATGATGTTTCACTGGAGGATATTAAAGCACAGCCCACGGGCTTTCTGTAGGAAGTGGTATGATCTCTGTTTTGCAGATGGGGAAACTAGAGGCACAGATGGCCCGTGTCATTAGCTCTAAAGATGAAGCAAGTTAGAGACAGAGCTAAAAACAGTACAGAAGGCATTAGGGCCCAATTCTTCCACTGCCCCCTCCGAAATACTGATGATCATTATTATCTATCATTATTATGACTATTTTTTGGCACATAAATTAAACCCACTTGGCACATATTATTAAGCGGTACTGGGGACTGAATTAAAATCCTTAATGCCTGGCAGCTGTTTTTCTCAATGTTATTTCCCAAAGTTCCTTCTGCTTCATGATTTCCCCTAACTTGTAGAGACATTCAGTTTAGAGTAAATGTTAAGAAGCTCTTGATGGAGTACCAAGACTGATATTGCTCATCTGAGAATACGACAGGTATCATCTTGTGCCTCATGTCCTCCTTGTTAATTCTGTACCGAGTTTACCCGCAGTTTAGTTTAAAAGTCATTGCCATCAAATCACCCTCACCCATTGCTCACACTCCTGCAGGGGCATTTAGTACTCTTCCCTGCAAGTCTATGAAATATTGACAAGATTCATTAATTCATAAGGGTAAATATTGCATGTGATACATGCTATTATAATGGAGTATAAAGTGTTCAAGATATGATCCCTGCCCTCTAGACATCTTGAAGGAGAGAAAAAACCCACAAGAGAGCAGTAAGTGGTTAAGTACTGACCAGAAGTGCTGAAGAGAAATGAGAATTATGTTTGAGAAGGTGTATCTTCCTCAATGATTTTGTTCATTGGATGGCAAGGTTTGTCTTTGAATCGAAGAAATTACTTTCCCCATAAAATGCACATTTATTTCATAGCACTTAGAATGTACAGAATCTTAACTTAGTTACATACCACCTCCATAATGTAACATGAAGAAATTGAGGCCCAGGTGATTGTATATTTCAAGATCTTGGGCCAGAACTGAGGATTTTTAAAAATGCCTCATCCATAAGCAAGATATGGGGAGTGGAAACCAGTGCTTTTAAATGTCTTTTGCATGATGAAATTTAAATAACTTCAGTAGATAGCAGGTTGAGAAGATGAAGAAATATTTTTCTAAGGCTTTCCATTTTCTTCCTGCTAGTTATGCAACTAGGTAGGTAACTCCCACACAGTTAGTGCTCAGGAATCCCCCTTACTCCTCCTGTGAGTTAGTGACCAGAAAGGAAGACAAAATTCCTTTAAATTTGGGCCCAGGTAATGACTTCTAGATTCATAACAAAAAAAATAGTTGGCAACTTTCACAAAAATACCAAGTCATCTGTAGCAAAGCACACATGATAAATGAGCATTTAATGGATGACAGATGTGAATTGAACTTGATAACTCACCTTTTTTTTCATTCTCCAGCATAGATTGGAAGGCTGCTTTTATTTGAATTAAAGGACTCGTTCTACTAACAAGTGTAGTGCAACATTCAATATGGAATCTCAAGAACATTTTGATTTCTCTATTTCTACAAAGCAAGGGAAAGTGCTTGTGAGTGATCTTACCATTGTTTAAAAGCTAAGCTGGTAAACTGAAGCCCAGAGAAGTCAAGAGGCTAGTCCTTCTAGAATCAACAATAGAGGAGGATGCAAACGCCAAATCTCATAAAACCTAAATCAATTTTCAATTCATTCTATTACATCATGCTATAAAACTAGGGCACATGTATTGTGGTTTGCTTTAATTTTTCATTTGTAGGTTGCAGTGGACAAGACATGGCTGTTAACCATTGCCTAGATGTTTCTAAACAGGCCATTCTTGTTGCCTAGCTTGTTGGGCAAGCTCACTGGTATGAACACTGCAGTTCAGGCTGGGACACACAAGCAGGTCATTTCCAATGACAGCCAAGTCTGCTTAAATCAAATGATCACGGAGCCTCAAAGCTGAGACTTAACCAGCCCATTATTTTGCTACATGAAGAAACAAGCTGAGAGAGGTTAAGAGACCTGGTCAGCTCTTTGCAGAGACCAGATGAGAAACCAGGAATGCATAATTTAAAAGTTTTGTGTGTCAATGTATGAGTTGCATAACAAGTTTTGAGCCAAATTAGAATTTTAATTCCAGTTTGTCTGTTACAATAAAATGAAGGGAAAATAAAGCAGCCTTTGTTAAATAACGAGTTTGGATGATCAAATAAGAAAAAGATTTAAACATGAAAGCCAATAGTCTTCAAAATGATGACTAATTCCTAGTCTAATAAACACACTGTATGTTCAGATAGAAACATTACTTTGATTTTGAACTAAGAAAAAAGATGTGTAAGAAGTAAGTGAAATGCTAAGAACACACCAGGGTGGCGGCCTGACTGCTGACTGTTGAACAACTCCCTATGGCTGTTTACCAATTTCTTCTTCATCTCCGAGATGTTAACTCTGGGAAATAATTTCTCTACATTCCTACTTAAGACCCTTCAAGTTTGGTCTGAATACATTTCTAATA